CTGTGGGCTGAATCTGGCCCACAGAGTGCTTAGATCTGGCCTGCAGGGCTGTCCTGGAAACAGTGAAGGATTGGCCCAAAGTGCCTCTGCCAATGAAAACGGCGCAGCCCTCCCCCCAGCCCCCCCAGGCCACCACAAGTGCCCCCGACACGAGTGACATCAAGCTGGCCATGCCCTCTGGTCATGCCCCCTCCAGCCTTCCTGAGGTCAAACACAAGCCTTATGTGGCCCTCAATGAAATCAACTTTGACATCCCTGACTCCTGGCATCCCATGACTGATTGGTCACTGCTTCTTCCCCTTCCCACCCATGCAGGGAAGGCAAACTTGGCTGACTAGCTCTGGTGAGGTTGTGTCTACCAATACCTGGCCTTTTGTCTCAGGGATTGTTCCCTTCTCACTCATTCCCTCTCTTTTGCCTTCCTTTCCCAAAAATTTATACATGTGGGTGCTTTCATCCCTCCTTTGGTTCTAACATAAAACTTTCATTCCCCTCCCCCACCCACCCCTGATAGTATCATTGCAATTCCAATGATATAATAATGAATGCAGCGGGGTTCTTCTTTCCCATTTCCTTCATAGGTTCATGGAAAATCTGATGCAAGGAAGAACCGGATAGATCGGTCTCACAGAAACAAAGCAGCAGTTATCCAACATGATCGCTTGAAAATGTTGTCAAAAACAAAAGAGCAGGAAGGGAACAGGGCGATCTTAACAGCATTATGGGCCCCGGGCAAAGCAGTGTACTGGGGCCCCTATGATAACCTGTTCTCAGGAATAAAAATGTAAATGATCAATAAAATTAAACATATATTTATTTTATTGGCACTTCCAACAAAATTAGTGTTATTTAATAAAATAACACCTATTAATTTTAAAATGCAGTAAAATTTAATAAATATGTTGCTGTATTTATATGATACAAGGTGCATTGAAGGGTTAATATACACATATTAGTGGGGGGGGGGCTATGCTCATTGGGCCCATGGGCAAGTGCCCATCAGGCCCATGCATTAAGGCAGTCAGTCCTGGAAGGGAAACTTTGTAGTACTGTAGGCAGGGTGTGGGAAAGCAAAGAGTGCATGCTTCATCCAGCCTGGACACAAACCCAAACAGGTGCAAACTGGGAAATGTCAGGGTGAATGGAGTGATAAGAGTCTGGCATTGATGGTTCACAGGCTTAACAGATCACCATTGGGTTAAGCAGAAGATTATTTAAGGAAAAGTAATTGGCAATTGGCAGACAACATAGCAGCCAGACTGCCCAGGAGTAGAGTGCTGCCCAAGCAGAACAAAGCATAGGAACCATCCACCATTGTGAGGGTCTTAAGATGACTCAGATCAGAAAACAGTAATTACCTTTTTTGAATTGAAGCTGGGAAGAAATTGGTGTGGGGCGTATTTGCAAAATGATGGGAGTAGAAGTAGGAGGACAACATCATCTGTTCCTGCATTCAAGAAGTGGCAAGCAGCAAGTTGCTGATGGGCCAAGAAGTAGGTGCAGTGCTAACCAGGATTATTGATAGAGGAAAAGGCAGATCAGGTGTAGGAACATTGGCAACTGGATATCTTTGTACAGGTAGTTACAACAGTTTCTTAGTGACCAGTTCAAAGTTACCATGACATTGTAAAATATCACTTACAAATGTTTTTTTATAGTTATGACCTTTCTAGCATCCCTATAATCATGTGATCAAAATTCAGATTTTTTTTTGCAACTGGTTCATGTTTATGACCTTTGCTGTGTCCCAGGGTCATGCGATCACCTTTTGTGACCTTCTGACAAGAAAGTTAATGGGGGAGCCAGATTCACTTAGCAACCTGGTTACTAACTTATCAACTGCAGCGATTCACTTAACAATAGTGGCAAGAAAGGTTGTAAAATGGGACAAAACTCACTTAACAAATGTCTCACTTAACAATAAAAATTGCGGGGGTCAATTGTGGTCATAATCTGAGACTACCCGAATTCCCTTTATATCTCAGTTTGTTAGGAGAGGGATTCCTTGACCGTCTCAATGATGATAACAATTATGATGATGTTATCCATTTCTTGATGGCAGTGGGGAGCTGGCGGGAAATCAAGAAACCTTGTTTTCATGATCAAGGAAAAATGTGGAGATCTTCCAAACTTGTGCTGTTTGGCAAACTAACATCCTGTTTCTCAGGTTCTGAGAATACCTTTATTGTTTGGTGAGGTGATTAAGGTGCTGCTGGCCTAGAAACCAGGTTACTGTGAGTCCTAGTCCTTCCTTAGGCATGAAAACTGACTGGGTAACTTTAAGCCAGTTATTCTTTCTCAGCCCAACTCACCTCACAGGACTGTTGTTGTGGAGAAAATAAGAGGAGGAAAGAGTATTAGGTATGCTCTCTGCCTTGAGTTACTTATAAAAATCATAAATGTGAGACAGAAAACAAATAAACGATGAACCAGAAGAACATTGGAAAAAGGAGTTTGTTTGGTTTGATTTAGTCTTCATCAGCTATCGTAACAGATCGGTGGGGTCAGATCAGCTGTACTGGGAAACCTCCATAAATTGTTGCTACAATACTGTATTGTCGTATATAATTTGTGTATGTGTGAATTTTTCAATACTGTAAAAATGAACAAACAAAAATTGCAAAGTAAGAAAAAAGCATAAAGAAAGTAATTAGAAAAAATATACAATTATGCCTTCTGCTCTCTTCTTTATTGAGCAGTTATCATCTTAAATATCCTGTCTGTGCCATTTTAATCCCAAAATTGTTGTCATCTTAATGAATTCTAGACTTGTTTGTAGTCACTTTGGAGTTTTCTGATATCTTACAAGAAAGCTAATTTCCAGAAATCAATGCTTTACATTAGAATACACCAGAGGTTGTATTCAGCAGGTTCTGACCAGTTCTGGAGAACCGGTAGTGAAAATTTTGAGTAATCCAGCAAATACCACCTCTGACTGGAGATTTAATTGTCACTTGCCTCACAAGGTGTCAGCAAAGGGTCAGGAAGACACTGTTGCTATGCCCATGTTAGGTTGCAGTTACTCTTGGGACCTTTGAATTAAATTGATTAAATTGTCCACAAGAGTTGCAAAAGGGGTCATCAATGGATAAACACTCTGGTCAATCTTGAGAGACTTTGTAAAAAAAAATCATAGCAAAAGGCAAGATGCTGTTTAAATCATTGCTAGATTAAGTGTCTCTCTTCAGGGGGAAGGAATGTGCCCATTGCTCTGGAGATGGCTCTGGCCGGAAGAATTTTTATAACCGTGGCCTCTTTATTGCTTTGCCAGAGGAGCAGAGGAAGATCAGCTTTGTTTTACTGACAAACATATAGGTATGATTTCTCAGAGTCTCTCACTGCATTTGTAGAAGGTTTAAAGACAGGTTTGATTTTCCTTTGAGAGCTGGGAAATATCTGACTTCTCCTTGTTATGCAAATGGAGTCTTTGAGATAGCAGGAAGACAAATTGAGCAAAGAAGAGGGGGTGGGTGGGTAGTCCTCTTTGTTTGTAACATGTGGGGGAATTCCAACCCCTCCCACCATCCAACCAGCATGTAAAAAATTCCGATGTTCACAGAGAGAGAGAGAGAGACAATGGGAAATGCAGGTTTAGATTAACATTGCATATTCACTCCTGGCTTCAATATTACTTTGCTTTATCAGAAATCCAAATTAACAATCTTTATACTGATGGGGTTCAGGAATTCAAATTTTAATCATCTTTTACTTTTCTGCCTTCTGCACAGAGGTGGATTTGAAGCTGTACAGATGCAGATAGATAACTCAAGAAGACGTCCATAACAAATTACATTCATTGGTTCATCAGGCATCCTCATAGCTCACATTTGTGATGAAGTTCTTCTTTAATGACCAATCCTTTGTATATCTGCCTTGTAGTAAAAGATGGTTATCTCCTAACCCATCTCATAGTGATAGAAAGCAGTTCCCATGAGTTAGAGAGTTCAGGCAAAAGTGAGGGAAACTCCCCCAACCCATCGAGGGTCAAATTAGTGACCAATCAGGATTACAGATGTGACCACGTGACATGAACTACATTTCCCAGGATACCTTTAACTACATTTACCATGATGCATTCCCTTAAGGGGACAGCTCATAATTCCTAAGTAACTATCCAATTCCCATAGACTGTCTGGGACAGCAGATTGAGCAATTATCATCTTAAATATCCTGTCTGTGCCATTTTAATCCCCAAATTGTTGTCATCTTAATGAATTCTAGACTTGTTTGTAGTCACTTTGGAGTTTTCTGATATCTTACAAGAAAGCTAATTTCCAGAATTCAATGCTTTACATTAGAATACACCAGAGGTGGTATTCAGCACGTTCTGACCAGTTCTGGAGAACCGGTAGTGGAAATCTTGAGTAATCCAGCAAATACCACCTCTTACTGGAGATTTTACAGTCTCCTTCCCCTGCCATGCCCACCAAGCCACACCCAACAGAACCGGTACTAAAAAAAAAATTGAATCCCACCACTGGAATGCATTTTCTGATTGCCTTTGTAGCACAGCGAGTGGTGGGTTTAACTTTCCTTCCACAATCTGAGCATAGTTGAAACTGTGGGTTAGCTGAAACTGCAAAGACTGAGCACCTTTGGCTGAGGGCAAAGATACCAACTGACAGACATAACTCAGGAATGAGCTGCAGAGACTTTGGACACTGTAGTGCACATCCCTCCCTCCCCTCCCCTTGAAAAGATGTTATTGATTTCTATGGAAGAAATAGACCTGCTAATACTTGAAAGGAAATACCTTTCTGTTCAAAGACTCCTCAGAAAGTGCTGCAGCTATAAAATATATAATTAATAATAAAATATGTGTTATTAAGAGTAGGGTTAACACAGGTTGGTTAACACCCAGTATTTGTTATTAATGCAAAGAGCTTCTCCTTCAGAGTTGTCTTTCTAGGAACTCAAAAGCTGGGGGCCTTATCTTCTCCTAACAGGAAGAAGTTTTGCCTGCCTGACTTTTATTACCACTAGCAGCAGAAACCTCATTGACTGGAGAAAGCTTGTAGCAAGACAACAGCACCAACCACACGGAGACCACATTGTCTTCTTCAGGTGCTCTTCCTCCTTTGAGCCACTTCTGCCACCAGGTAAGTGATTAAAACCTCCTGAATCTCTTTATCATCTCAATATGGGGAGGACATCAAAACCTTCACTTCACAGGGAATCAGCCAAATGGGTGTAGACTGGCAAAAAGGTGGAGAATGGACTATGGGAGCAAAGTAGAAAGATGCTTTGAGCAGACTTGTTTTTTCAAGCTTCCTTCACTTCAGGAAGGCTTTGATGAGGAGAAAATTTATTTTTTTATTTATTTGATTTGTCAATCGCTTACAAGATAATAGGTATAAGTATAAACATAGTTATGAATACATGAAATGGATACATGTAAAAAAAATAAAAAGAAACAATAGGACAGAGACGTTAGGCACGTTGGTGCGCTTATGCACGCCCCCTACAGGCCTCTTAGGAAAGGGGTGAGGTCAATAGTAGACAGTCTAAGGTTAAAGTTTTTGGAGTTTCGGGAAGAAACGACAGAGTCAGGTAGAGTGTTCCAGACATTGACCACTCTGTTGCTGAAGTCGTATTTCCTGCAATCAAGTTTAGTGTGGTTAACCTTGAGTTTGTATATATTGTGTGCTCCTGTATTGTTATAGTTGAAGCTGAAGTATTCATTGACTGGTAGGACATTGCAATGTATGATTTTATATACTATACTTAGATCGGACCGAAGGCGGCATAGTTCTAGGTTTTCTAGGTCTAGAGTTTCAAGTCTGGTGGCATAAGATATTCTGCAACGAGTAGAGGAGTGAAATATTTCACTCTTCTTGTGAAATATTTCTGGACTTTCTCAACTGTGTTAATATCAGATACGTAATGTGGGTTCCAGACTGATGAGCTGTATTCAAGTATTGGTCTAGCAAATGTTTTGTATGCTCTAGTTAATAGTGTGATATTACCAAAGAAAAATCTACGTAAGGTTAGGTTAACAACCCTTAATGCCTTTTTGGCTATGTACTTACAGTGGTCTCTAGCACTTAGATCATTAGACATGATCCAAGGTCCTTGACAGAGTTTGGATCATCAACAAGGACTTGACTATTCAGCTTGTATTTTATTTTCTGTTGTTTTTTTTGTCAATATGTAAGACAGAGCATTTATTTGTTTAGATTTGAAGTTGCCATTTGTTTGACCATTCTGATACATAGTCAAGGTCTTTTTGAAGGGTAGCAGCATTTTTTGTGGTGTTGAACAGCTTTACATCATCAATGAAGAGAATGCAGTTGCTCTTAATATGAATACATAAAATAAAATTGTCCTGAATTTCTTGTCACAAAGCAAGGAAGAAAAGGGGGAGATTTATGAGAAGAAAAAGCAGCTCTAGAGGATGTAAGAAAACCCAAGAAGCACTTGGAGCAGAGGTTGCAAATTGATTTTCAGAAAAAAAACACCTCCTAGCAAATTGTAAAACAGTTAGAAACAGTAAAAACAAAAATCACAAAAGATAAGGAAAGACCCATTTTTTAACATGCTTCATGGCATAAGAAGAACACACAAAAAAGCAAAAAAATCCACATTCAAACATTACAGCACTGAAGCATGTGAAGAAGAAATCAGAACATCTACACTGACAAATAAAACCAGCAACAGCAACAGATTAAAACTGTTCCAAGACTTGCAGCAAGTCTTCAGCTTGCAAGGAAAAATTAACTGGAAGAACAAAAGCCCAACCCAATATCACCAAAAGAAGAACAAATGGTGGGGGGAACCATGTAACTAAAATATTTCATTTGCATGTTGGAATATAGGGGAACATTCAGGGCCGGTTATCTTGCATTCATGTTTTCTAGACCAAGGGTCTCCAACCTGGCCAACTTTAAGCCTGGAGGACTTCAACTCTGGGAGTTGAAGTCATCCAGGCTTAAAGTTGCCAAGGTTGGAGACCCCTGTTCTAGACAGCATATCAAGGAAGATTTCAAATACTTCTCTACATGCCAAAAGATGTGGGCGCTCCTAGGCTACAAGAATGGACTCTTGGGTCCTGGAGTCAGAGGTTGACACTTAGCTTGGTCTTCACTTCGCAGTTGTCCCTGATGATTTATTCTGGGGTGATCTTTGAAGGAGATATTTTCTAAGTCAATGAGCTACTTCTTTTCCTTTCTTTTTTAGTGATGGAGGTGAAAACCTGGAAGCACTTCACTGCCTTTCTGTGTTGCACTGGATTCCTCCTGGCCCTTTCAAGTAAGTGTCCTGAAGCTGGAACCCAGGCAGAATTTAATCTCCATTCTGGACTTTGTATTCACCTTGAAGGTCTTTGCTTGGCTTTCCAAACTGTGACTCACCATGTGCTTTAATGCTACAGCATCTGTTGTGACATTCAACAGGCTAGTGAAACACAAGCATTATATTCCAACCTATGTGCAAGAGTCAGTTTGGGAAATACTCCCTTGCTTTCATTTTTTGAACTGTCCATATGTGAATAATTGAGTCTTTAACTTAACAACATGAAACCTGGATCTCGTTTCAAGATGGACTACAGCAAAAGGCTTTCTTAGTGGTAGCACAAAAATTAAGTATTAATTTTAATTTTTTCCAAGTATTGAATTTTGGTTATACTTTTAATTTTAGCTGATTTCTGTGCATACATATGTCCAGGTTTCCTTGGCTATGGTCTTAAGCATACATTTTCTTTCAATGTATGTTTATTATATGTTTGTATATTTTTCATTTCATTTCATGAGCTGCCAATATATAAGTATTGTAAATATGATGTGCCTGGGAAGAATCTTCAGAAACTATAAAGTAGAGAAATGCATTATTAGCAATAATACTAAAGGTATAAGTCTTGCTATCTATCTTCTGCACAAATGGAAGGTTCAGATATTAGCATCACAGTGTGAATAAATAAATTATAAGATTGGATTAATTAGGGTATAAACTAATTATAAATGATAAAATGATATTTTTCAATAAAAAAGAGTCTTTTCCATCTAGCATCCCATCTCTCTGGTTTGAGACAAGAAAACTAAGCATGCTTCAACCCTCTCTGGCTCCTTTCCGTTTCAGAAGAAGGTTGCCTTGGCTACTTCTAATCTATACAGCTCAGAAAATATCCAGAGACGGAGTGTTTTGCATTCAGGCCATTATCAGGACCAACAGAAACTACCCTCATGCAGGTTGAAATAACACATTTCCCAACCATACTATGTAAAGATTAGATGTCATAAATTCACACTGCAAACATGGATGCTGTATGCGAGCTCAAGAAATTTAACACAAGTTCTTGATTTTGTCCTTGCCATGGCATGCCTGTGAGACAGAACTATCAACAGAAGGAATAGAAGTTGTCTTTGGAAGTTGTGGGAGCTTCATCACTGGAAGGTTTCCAAAAGAGACTGGACAGCTGTTTGTCAGAAATGGTGTTGGGTCTCCTGCTTGGGCGCGGGGGTTGGATTAGATCCCTTCCAACTCTGTTAATCTGTTTGTACAATAGTAATGGGCCCAAGATCATGAAGATCTTGGAACAGTACTGATGTTAAATCAGGAAAGTTAAATTGGTTCTCTCTGGATTTCAGCATGTTCAGTAGTCAAGGGTGATAGGATTTGTCTTCCAGTTTACCTTCCCATAGAAGAGCACGGGGGGCAACATTTTCTGGTTCTTTCCATCTCTGGCAAGGGGAAACAAGTGAGCAACCCAGAGTGACCAAAAGTCAGGAGTCTAGTAGCACCTTTTGCAACATTTTGTTTAAAAGATATACAGTAGCTGTTATGAACTGCATCTCACTTCCTCATCTGCATAGAGTGGCCACTGGCTAAGTCTAAATCTTGCCTCAAAGATTTAAATTGGGGTGAAAAGGGGAGGGGAAGAGGGGGTGGTTATAAGATGCAGGCTACATATGAGACTGATTACAAGTACCTTATCAATTAATAGTTGTCATGTGTTAAAATGCCATTGTGTTTGTTGAGATTTATTTTTTTTGAAATCTTCCCTTCTTAGAGTTGAGAGAGAATGACTGGCTGCAGGACATCCAAAGGATTTCATGCCTAAGGCGGGACTAGAACTCACAGCTCCCAGTTTCTAGCCTGGTGTCTTAACCACTATTGTTCTGCACTGAATAGGAAAATAGAAAAACACAAAAAGAAGCCACTACTAAGCACAAGTAGACAGAGATAAAAACATTATGGGAAAACAATTTTTCCTGCATCTGTCTTAGTCAAATGTGATTTTTTTTGTTTAGCTTTTCTGGACTTTTCTGCGAAGTTTTTCCTGTTTATCCTATATAGAATCCAGAAGGGCATTGCTGGCAGATGATGGGGTATGTCACTTTAGAGTGTGCTTGTTGGAGCTGGTGATGGAGCCATTGGTATTTGTGGGAGCAAATCTGGATTTGTGGCAGGGTCAGGTTCCTGTTTTAGCATCATTGTCCTGTTATTTCTTATTGCTTGTGAGAATATGCTTCACGATGGATGGATGCTTATTTAAAATATAGGTAAATAAAATATATCCTGTACTTGAGAAAATGAAGTGTCACTGTCCATTATTGGCTTGAGCTTATTAATAATCTTTTGTGTGATTGAGCTGTGAGCTATAAGTGACAATGGTATTCTGTTCTGTTTTTGTGGTCTGTCTTTTAATAGATCTTCCCTGAGAACCAATCAGGTTCTATTGATTTGCCTGTTGATCTTCTTTGGAAGATACATTCAGCCTCCTGAGTGTCTGGTTTAATTCCACCACTTGAGCATGACCTTCAGGTGGACCAGAACAGATGCCATTGTAGTGTAGCGCCTGGATGTAGATGAGAGGGTGGCTTGATTATGTGCTCTGGGTGGAAGCTAGAAGCATGCTGTATATTGCCTAGGTGTCCATTGGTGTGATTTTACTGTGACATTAAGGAAGTGGACCAGTGGTGGGATTCGAATTTTTTTACTATCAGTTTTGTGGGCATGGCTTGGTGGGCGTGGTGTGGCTTGGTGGGTGGGGCATGGCTTGGTGGATGTGGCAGGGGAAGGATATACTGCAAAATCTCCATTCCCTCCTCACCCTGCTAACCTGCTTTTCAGCTCCATTATCCTGTGCAGGGAAACAAAAAAAGACCCAGGTGATTAGCTGGGACTCTGGTCAGCTGAGACTCGGGAGGCAGCGAATAGATGGGGATGGGGCCAGTCAGAGGTGGTATTTGCCAGTTCTCCGAACTACTCAAAATTTCCGCTACCGCTTCTCCAAAACCTGTCAGAACTGGCTGAATGCCACCTCTGAAGTGGACTTGTTTTGTAGATTCATTGATGATGGGATGGAAGCTGTTGAGGTATTGATGGAATTTGTGGAGAAATTCTTTTTTATGAGTCCAGATGGTGAAAACTGCCATGAATCTCAAGTAAAGGAGCCAAAGTGGCACAGTGGTTAGAATGCAGTACTGCAGGCTACTTCTGCTGATCACCAGGTGTGAGCAGTTTGGCAGTTCGTGTCTCACTGGCTCAAGGTTGATTCAGCCTTCCATCCTTCCGAGGTCAGTAAAATGAGGACCCAGATTGTTGGGGACAATATGCTGACCCTATAAACCGCTTAGAGAGGGCTGTAAAGCACTGTGAAGCGGTATATAAGTCTTAGTGCTGTTGCTATTGCTAAAGAAGGGGATAAGAGTTAAGAAAATATAATTCTAGATCAGCTGTGAAAAATGACATATGGAGGAGGCATTTGTGTGCCTTTTAATAAACATTTAATAAGAAAAATGTGATTGGTTGATTATTTTATTTTTTTGCTATGATAGACAAACAGCTAATTTACTGAGGGATAAAATTATGTATATGCTTCTGAAACAGGTGGCAATCCGAACATTTAACAACAACAATTTAACAAGTATTTTAGAAGTTCAGTAATAAGAGTTAACCTCCTGGTGCAAAATTTTACAAACATCTTTCTGGATGTCACGGTAGAAGCAGGTTACTATAATAACGTCCTTTTCTGAATTTTTCATGGTGATATTGGTGAGCAAGATCTCAGCTGATTGTGTGAGAGATTTAAATACTTTGGACAAAATCAGAAGAAAATGACAGTATCTTGTTATTTCCTGTTCTTGACACATGTGTTTTTTCCTTGTGTTTTCAGAGGCTCAGGAGAAAGACCCAATAGAGCCCTTGAGAAAAGCTGTGGTGAAATTTGGACACTTCTTTGTGCTGAATTGCACAACGAACAGCAGCAGCATCAGTAGCTGTGATATTCAGGAGAGGTCTTCTGAAACCTATGATTATAATGACATCGGCCCCACCTGGAAAACTTTCACTTTCATTGTCGTTTACTGGTCACTCCGTGCATCATGTGTTGTGACCTGTAATAATGAACCCAGGTCTTGGGAAACAATTGTCACAGTTTACCGTAAGTTAAATTCAGCTATGAAAGTCTAATTTTTTAATGTTGCCTACTGTGAAGGATCCTTACTGCAGTTCGGTGGAAGAGAGGAAGGAATTCTCCCTTCTTTGGGATCAGGCGCTCAAATTCAACAAGATCAGAAAAGAAAATGGGGGCTCAGGAAGCCAAAAGGCAAACCTGAGAGTACAAATCTGCCTGATATAGAGGAAGATTTATAGCAGGCATGTCAAACTCGATTTCATTGAGGGCTATATCAGGGTTGTGTTTGACCTTGAGGGGCCGGGGTGGGTGTGGCCAGGGTGGGCGTGGCCAGCTCAACATCACTCATGTCGGGGGCACCTGTGGTGGCTCTAGTGCTCTGCCAGCAGGCTCCTGAGCTCTGTTTTTGACCATGATGGCCTCCTGCAACCTTCTGCCAGGGAAAATGGAGCTCCGTTTTCACTGGCAGAGGCACCACAGGCTGGTCCTTTGCTGTTTCCAGGGTGGCCCCACGGCCAGGTCTAAACACACTGCGGGCCGAATGCAACCAGCGGGCCTTGAGTTTGACACGCCTGATTTATAATGTCCAGAAGAAGTCCCCAGGCATCTTGTAGGAACTTCCCCCCTCACAATTGCAGCAAAGTTTTAGATTTCCCCCCCACCCTGGAAAAACTACACTTTGTCCCACTTCACCTTCTGACAACAGCTGAAGAGGTTTTTATGCAATTAGGCCTTGAAATCCTTTATAATTTCTTTTAAATTTGCTTTTGGCATTAAACTTCTTTGCCACTGTCATCCCACTGACGGAGAAAAGTCATTCGAGGTTCCAATGTAATGTCAAGCATCTGTTTCAAAATCAACGCTTGACTGCTGAAGCTTAATCTTAGTAGTCCGTGGTTATCTGGCACTTAGAAGTATCTAGTGTTCACTCTAGTTACAATAAAAATTATATACTAAAATGGCCCCAAAGTGTGCCAGTAAAATGAAACAATAGAACTTGGTTTAGCTAGATGATTTGTTTCTGCCTTAGGTTAGTAAAGAAAGTGTTAACTGTTTCGCAGTTACAGTATCTCAGCCAGTGAAGTCCCTCCCTCTAGAAACCTTTTCAGTCATGTCTGGGCACATAGAGGAAAAGTTTGTGAGATTCGCTAAACCAGGCATGGGCGTGGCCAGTGCGTGACGCATCGGGCCTGCAGGCCGGGAGTTTGACGGCCCTGTTCTGCAGCAACAACAGCAGGCGGCCTGGGCTAGAAGGAAAATATTGGCCATCATTGCTGGATGCTCTTCTCACTTCCCTCTTCCTTCCTCCTTAAGAAGGGATGAGAAGAGAGAGCAGACAAATCCTGCAACTGTACATATTAGCTAATGTAATAAATCTACCCCTTTTCTGCGGTTAGCAGAATATGGCTGGCCACTTTCACTGTTTTGCAGAGCTTAAGTTGCTTTTAAAGAATGCAGCCACCAATGCTTTACTCCAGGGGTGTCCAACCTTGGCAACTTTAAGACTTGTGGACTTCAACTCCCAGAATTCCTCAGCCAGCAAAGTCTTAAAGTTGTCACCCCTCCAAGTTCTCCAACACTTACTTTTGCTGAGAAATCACTTTCCACCAGTCTGCAGGGAGATCCACTTAATTTTTTTCAAATGGGAGAAGGAAGCCTTTAGTGGGTGATAGAGAAGGACAGACGGCCAAATATAGACATATACAGGTAATGCTCAACTTACAACCACAATTGAGCCCAAAACTTGTGTTAAGTGAGAAATTTGTTAAGTAAGTTTGCTCCATTTTACGACTTTTTGCGCTTCATTTGTTAAGTGAATCACTGCAGTCATTAAATCAGTAACACGGTTGTTAAGTGAATCTGCTTTCCTAATTGATCTTACCTGTCAGAAGGTCACAAAAGGGGATCACACAACTCTGGGACACTGCAACCCACATAAATGTGAGTCAGTTGTCAATCATCCGAATATAAATCCCGTGACCATGGGGGGGGGGGCGAGGGAATGCTGCAAAGGTCATAAGTGTGAAAAACGATCATCAGTCACTTTTTTCAGTGCCGTAACTTCAAACGGTCACTAAATGAACTGTTGTAGGTCAAGGACTTCCTGTATTCTATCCCAGATGTGCTTTGGAAATCTTTTTGCTGAACTGCAATGGAATTAAGTCCAGAAAAGCCAGGATTTTACTCATCATCACATTGAAGATGTTTGGCTATATCTTATTCTATTACAGAACCTCCAGAGAAGATTGAGCTGGATCCATTACCAGAAATGGAAGTGGGCAAGCAGTATAATTTGACATGCCGGGTTTTTGGTGTAGCCCCCATCCGGGACCTCACCGTGACCTTGCTGAAAGGGGAAGAACAACTTCTGGTAAAGACCTTTAAGGATCATACTGACCCTGAGGCTGGTGCTGTTGTGGTGAACCATCACATGATAGCTCAGAAAGACGACTACAGCAAGACAATCACCTGCCAAACATCCCTGAATCTGGGACCAACAGGACCACTCCTGGAAAACACCTCCCACAGCATATCATTGTGGATTTTGGGTAAGATCCCATCCATTGCTCCAGTTCTGATTTACTTCACTCTGTAGTTACAGAGTATAATAATCCCCCCCTCCGGTGGGGTGGATGGGTGTGCATGAGGGAGAAAAGGTCTTCCCCCTTTTTAATTCATCCCTCTATTTTGATTATCTTTGCATAGATTTTGGCGAACTCCCATTCACTTCCTTTAAAGCAGGTCTTTCCAACTTGCCTTTCTTGAGACTCAGGCCATGTCAATGTCCTATAGTGACCGCCCTGCAGAATAGCAGCAGTTAAGGTCAGACAGAGAAACATGCAAGACCAGGGCAAAAAAAAAAAAATGAGAAGCAACTGGAACTTGAGGAAATTTAACTTAATTAGAGTTAATAAAGTCTCATCATCCTTTAATAACTTCCTGTTATTTCACATTAAAGTTAGATGGCAACTTTTAGAAGGGCCTGTGGACTGCTCTGGAGAGGCTAGGAGCTTCTGTGGTGCAGTGGTTAGAGTGCAGTTCTGCAAGCTACTTCTGCAGCCAATTGCCTACAATTTGGCAGATCGAATCCCACCAGGCTCAAGGTTGACTCAGCCTTCCATCCTTCTGAGGTGGGTAAAATGAGGACCCAGATTGTTGGGTGCAATATGCTGACTCTGTAAACCGCTTAGAGAGGACTATAAAGAAGCACTATAAAGCAGTATATAAGTCTAATTAATATTGCTATAGGCAGCCCTGGGGCCCCAATCCTCCTCTGCTATGAAGACAACTGCAGCAGTCAAAGGTCTAAACCAGGGGTGTCCAACCTTGGCAACTTTAAGACTTGTGGACTTCAACTCCCAGAACTCTGGGAGTTGAAGTCCACAAGTCTTAAAGTTGCCAAGGTTGGACACCCCTGGTCTAAACAAAAACTGTAACAAAAGGAAAGAGGTCATCACAGTCCCAATTTTAAGGCATAATCAGGGTGCTGATGGCAACATCTTTCCAAAACTAGTGCTGTGGGAAATGAAGAATTAGCAGGAAAAAGAGGAGGGAGGGAATTAGCAGGAAAAAGAGGATGTGACCAGGTGAGGAGGGAGGGAGGAAAAACAAGGAAGAATTTTTTTTTTCTTATCCCCTGCAGTAGGGGAAAGAAGCATGTTTCAGTCTATATGTTCAGGGATGGTAGAACCCTCACCCCCTACTTGCACTGTACTTCACTTCACTTGCAGCAATAATGATAATAACAATATAAAAGAATTTCAGGTTTAAGAATCAAATACTTTTGAAAATGCAGGAGGGCATTTTTATAAACTTAACACTTAACCTGCAGCTGAGCCTGGAATTTCCATTGTAAGTCATTGAGGTCAGTAAGTGGGTCACCATGCAACTGACTCAATTTTGTGACATGATAATGTGACCATGGCACATTGCTACTGGTCGTACCTTAGATGCAAGCTGGTTGCCAAACTCCTGAAATGTGACCAGGTGACTGCGGGCTGGGGAAATGCAGCAGGTGTAACTTTGAAGATGGGTTGTAAATAACTTCTAGGGTTTTGTTGTAATTTTTGAATAGTCATTAAGTGCCTGGTCATTGTGTGAGGACTGACTCTACATCTAATGCAGTAAATAACAGTAACTCAAAAACCCTTTAACAAGGTTTTCCTTCGTTGCAAATGCTCCAAAGCACCCAAATTTACTTCTCCACACCACACTGCCACAGGGGCTGTTGAAAGAGGCTGATAGTTCAGTGGCAAACCCAGCAAAATGTTTTTTGGAAAGATTTTGGATTTTTAGAAGAGAGTGCCAGAAGTCTCCCTCTCCTTCCCCACCAAATGTTATGGAGAATGGTCGTGGTTATTTCTCCTGCTGGTAGGTGACTTTGTCTGCAGAAAGAAAGGAAAGTTGAAGAAACCACTGCTCACTCTCCTGAAAGATTCCTGCACTAAATCTATAAGGACAGCTATGCTTCCGGGCCTTTTTGATCTGTATCAGTGTAATTCGTGATGCCGCTTTTCTGTTGCACTCAAGGATGTGCAAGACATATACTTTAGTATGGCCATAGGTTGTTGGCTATTGTCTTCAACATTTGTAAGAGTCAGGAGAAAGGAAGAGTGAGTAGCAAGAAGAGGAAGCTGTCAGTTGATTTATGAGTCCACCATCCAGCTTGTCCAGTGCAAAAAGCAACATCCTCTTGCCCTTTTAATTATGTCCTGCAAAAGATGAAAACAGACTTTTAAATCAGCATCTCTCCCCTCCCCAACACACACAGAGACTTTAGCAGCCTCTCCTGAGTAGCTATTTTCTTCTAGCTTAGGATGGAGGGCTAGAATCTCCTAAAACACTACATATACATTCTGTATGTGCTCTAAAAAGAGCATTGAAAGGACAATTCTTATATCCTCTTATATTAGCATTCATTCATTTATATCTTGCCTTTCATTAAGAGGCATAATGCTCCTCCTACTTTTTCCCATAACAACACTTGAGTAGGTTGGGCTGAGAGAAGGTGACTGGCCTAAAGTCACCCTGAAAGGTTCCAAAGCTAGCTGTGGAGTAAAATATAGGTCTTTCTGCCTCTAACCCAGCATTTTAAGCACACTGCATTCCTTCCTACGACTGGAAAAAGAGCATCATGTTTTATACAAAGGCCATGTTTACAAGCAGTTAACTCAATTTTAACACCCTGAAGCATAAACTAACTATAAATGTTGGGTTTACACATGACACACTAAAGTATAAATAGGTTGGCGAGCTTGCAGTTCAGTGTGTAGTTGAAATACAGTAAAGGATAGACATCTGTGATCAGATGAATTAAAATACTTTGGTGGGAAAACATTTCACAAAAATATGTTCTAGAAGGATGATTCATCAAAGATGTTGCTACTTTAAAAAGGAGCAGAGCAGTGGTTGAGGGGTGAAAGTAGGTTTTCAATACAATTTCTGCTGTCAAATTAAGGATGATTTATTGTTCCTTAGATAAGATTAGAAATTAAGATTGGAAATGGTTGGGCATTTAATGTCCATTTCGGCGTAGAATTTCATGACCAAATGGCAAATGTTGCCTTATGAGCCAAAATGTTCTAAGATGTCAAAATAGTCTGTTAAGAAACACTATTACAAAATTGGTCCTGAAGAATCAATCATCCTGCTAAATAGATCCACAAAGATAAAATAGCAATCAATTCCTAATTTGTTTAGATTATCTAACGTAACCAAGTGCATACAGTATGTTCTTGTGTTAGATACCTGAATATCCCAGAAGAAAAAGCCTATCAGCCATCATATAAAATACCAGCACTTCTAAAACCGTCTATCATTTGAACTATTACTTAGGTATTCACTGCTGTAGTCTGATTAATGCTGTAAACTTGGAATTTAAGGGCTACTAAAAAAAAGTCTTTTTTTAATAGCCCCTCAATTTTCCACGTAGAGTATGTGGTGATGATTCAAGGAGATCCAGTCTGTTTAAACCACAGCCCTACTTCCAATTCCTTGACTGAACAGGAATCTGAAGAAATGTCTGAGTTTTTAAGATTTCTAAGGGGTGGTGGTAGCAATGTCCAAATTTGGCAGATAGAGGAAATCTTTCTCCTTGAAGCAGGTCAATGAGGAGTTGTGAAGGAACCCTGGAAGAGCTTGGACCCCTCCAGCTATTGGCAGGAGAGCAAGGAAGAGAAATATTCCATCTCTCTCAGAGAAGAAATCCAGCCATTCAGTCCAGTTAATGTTGTCTTTCTTTGGCCACATATGATGCCATTACAGCAGGGGCCTACAACCTTGGCCACTTTAAGCCTGGAGGACTTCAACTCCCAGAATTCCCCAGCCAGC